TACGTCGTGTTTTACTATCATATCCATACGACGTGGGGAACTCTGGGCCACCACTTTCCAAAGAAGAAATTTACTCGGTAATCCGATCCGTACGCTTTGCATAGCAGTCTGTCAAAAGGGTAGTTTTGAGAAATACTGAAGGTTTCAAAGAGATCTTCGCTCTAGAAGTACTCTAAAATGTGAAGAATACAACCCCGGGGGTACAAAATGACCACAGGGCGTTCGGATATGGTTAAATTATTCCATGAGATCAATAGCGTCCGTTTAGAGACCTGGTCGATAAATTGGTCACGTGGTAGGAATTTAAAAACCCCACAATACTTTGAGGCCAGTGAAGTGCGGGATTGTGTTATGATTCCCTATAACACACACGTACTTAATCTGCTTCGCAACATTTCCGCACTCTTTTTCTTCTCATCTACTTCCAGTTGTCGATTCATCAACCACTCTGACATATTCGAGTGTTTTGATCACTGTGTCCCGACGCAGTGGAATCAGGCGCTCGTAAATTTTGGGGGAATGCATGTGGAGTTATTGGTATCATCTGAAAGCTGATTTATTTGCCTTGCTTCCAATGAAATAAATATCCATTTCTCTTGTTTAGTTTTAGTAAAGGTTTTACGGTGCTCGCAGCTGCAAAAGGTCATATGGGCACCAGGAGATTAGAGGTACATGTATTACAAGAGAGTAACAAATATAAAAAAGAAGAAAAAGAGATAATGACGATATTTTTTTTATAGGAAAGAAGAAGCAAAGCACACCAGAGCACCCGCCAACCTCCCACCATTTATTTTGAACAGAATTCAAGATGTTTGCGGTTGAAGGAAGAAAGGTCGCCTGATTTCAGTGGTGAAATTAGTAAGAAAATGGCAGCCAAAGTTTGGTAACTCCAACAGCTAAAGACTCTATGAATACTGAAAAAAACGACTCAATTCGTACCTTTAATCAATGTTTTTGAGTACAATTCACAGGGAAATGTGTTTTTATATGGACCTAATGCAGGTTAAACCAAAAAATTAAAATTCGATAACAATTCCCAAACCTGTGGAAAAAATGAAATGCCAGTTTCTTCACTTTCAATTCTTTCCTTATTTTGACGAGCGCCTGACTTCGCCACGCAACCTTACATTCGCGCAGTCGACGAGTGGATAGGCGAGATATATAACTTAGGCACGTGTGTGTGTGTGTGTGTGTGTGTGTGTGTGTGAGTGTGTATGTGTGTGTGTGTGCGCGCGCGCGCGCGTGCGCGTGCGTGTGTGTGTGTAGATTTCTATACATGTATTTGTTGAGCACCGCGTGAAGCGAGCCTGAATTACCTGAATGATTAGGGAAACGTGCCGATAGAACGACCGGGCTTTCTGATATCTGATCTATGAAACTTTGAGGACGAAAGGACTCTCGAGTCTACTCTGGAGAGTGAAAGAAAGTATTATGAGCGTGACATTCTAGCCTCGGAAGGGAAGAGCTATGTATTGATCAGCAGACTTGCAAACAGAAAAGTGTGACAATTTTATTGTTCTCTGCTGTAGGTTACTCTCTGTCGCCATGACATAATATATTATTGTGTGACGACCTTGTGGTGGGACCAGGCTCTCGTTGAAATGAAGAAATCATAGAAAACGACATTATTTTTTCTCACAACTGGGCAATTTTTATCGAACCTTTTTCCCCCTTCAGCTTTGTTTGTTTTGTTTGTGGGTTTTTTTTCCCTTTTGATCCGCCGTTAAACTCTTACTAAACTAACTAAAATACTTGTACTTTTATGTCCACTTAAAAACATAATTCTGTATGGGTTTCATTGAAAAACGTTAATTAATGGCTCAATAGATGTAATTTTGCCGTCGCCAGGGACGCTCAAGCTTTGGATCGGAAGTCCACCACACTTTTGACCGCCAATATTTCGTTTATTTTACCTGTCGTGTTTGACTATCGTATCCATACAACGTGGGAAACTCTGCGCCACTATTTTCAAAGAGGAAATTTACTCGTTAATCCGATCCGTACGCTTTGCATAGCAGTCTGTCAAAATGATTATTTGAGAAATACTGAAAGTTTCCAAGAGATGTTCGTACTAGAAGTATTCTAAAATGTGAAGAATACAACCCCGGGGGTACAAAATAACCCCAGGGCGTACTAATAGGGTTACATGGAAAGCAAGACAGAATGAACAGGCTTTGAGGTGATACAAAACATTCCATGTTATGTCCCAAACTTGACGAGCACCTGATTTTACTGTGTCGTGACGCATTTA